TATCTTTGTATTCATTTTTATAAATAAAATAAAAAAAACAACGACTTCTAATAAGTATAATTATTATTATTAATGATATCAGAGAACTGTGAGCATGCAAATGTGTCATTAAATTGTTGAAATATTTATTATTTATATTATTTATTATTTATATTTAATATTTATATCCAAGGGGTTCGGCTGAAAGAAAAGTTTAGGAACACCTACTAAACAATGTTGTGAATCCTGTATTCATTTGTAATATTTAATTTTTATTTGTATTTTTTTTATTTATAACAGAATTGTAATATCAGCCATTTATTTTTTTATCAGTTATCATTTAAATTTTTAGTTTTAATTTCAAAATCTGTGCATCCCTCTTATTTATTTATTTTTTTAGTGTTGCATTTGCATTTATGCTTTGCATGTGGAATGACGGCATAAATTCTAACATAACTAAATAAATGACATGCTCATACATGTACTTTCACTTTTCAGAATATGGACTGGGAGGCTCTTCTCCTCCGTAAACTCCCTCCTCCCTTCCTTCCGACTATCGGAAACAAAGAAGACGTCAGCAACTTCGATGAGGAATTCACAACAGAACTGCCGGCTCTCACGCCGCCTCGTGAACCCCGGGTGCTCTCGCGCAAGGATCAGGACAGCTTCCATGATTTTGACTATGTCTCTGACCTCTGCTGAGAGCGTCTTCACTGTGATAGTGCTGTAGAGAGACCTTTCTGCTCCGTGACTCAGCGACGACGAGGACAAGAGCGGCCAATCTGAGTGTTTTGCGTGAATTATGAATGTGCTGGAACTGTGAACACTGTGATGGAAGAAAGAGGAGGCCAAAAAACAGTTCGAATCGGATTAACGACAGGAAGCTTGTTTCTTGCCAACAGGTTTAAAGGTGCATTTGATCATTTTTTTGCGCTTCAACTCAGACTGACACCTAGTGGTTTGGATGAAGCATCACACTAAAGTGGTGAGTTACTGATGCAATCGTAGAAAAGCATTATTCACAGTCAGCCATAGGGCCTTTCGCACCGCGGGAACCTTTTCATAGTACCAGAACTAATTGTGGAACTACCCACTTTTTTGCGTTTTCGCACCGCCAGAACTGGGTACTGGGCTGGAGTGTGGACCATTGATGGAATAGGAAGAACTAAAAATAAAAAAATTAAATTAAAAATGAAACCCTTTTAAATCCTGTTAAACAGATCTACTTTTTTTAAGAATGTCATTAAAGCATTATATATTTTATCGTTATTATGTTAACGTTGTTCTTCTTTGTTTCCGTTGTTGAACGCCGTGCACAAATGACATCGCTGTCGACCGGCTTACGTCACTTCCTAGTACACACTGTCGGTGCGAATGCAACCCTTTAAATGGTACTGGGAAATAGTTCGCGCAAAATCGTCCCAGTACTTTAATACTGTACATTTAGTTCTGGAACTAAAGCGGTGCGAAAGGCCCTCATGACTCATTTATTCAACTAGTGAAAGTGTCCAATAACAGGTGTGTTACTGAAACGAGTGAGTAGCATTCGCCTGGTCATGTGATCTCAAAATGGCGGCCCCATCAGGGGGCCCTCTTCATGTAGAGTAATACAGGCTACTGATATGAATAGAGTCTTCATCTCATACTTTTAAACTCTATTTAGAAATACTATTTATTTCTTTAGGGCAAAAACGTTTTTTTTTTTGGTTTTTTTTAAAGAAAAAAATGATTGAGTGCACCGATAAACTAGTTGAAATTTTTGGTTTGTCTTCAAGTGTCATTTCTACTTTTGAAAAATGCACCTTGTCTTAATAAAGGCAATGGGAAGGTAAATTTTAAAACTCACACAGAAGCATCTCAGTGAACTTTTGTAAAAGATTCGACCAAGAGCATGTTGGGAAATGCATTTCTGTTCATTCTCACATTTAAGGAAAAATGATCTTTGATGACCACCGAGGAACTAATAACAATCGCAAAATCTTCCTCCATTCAGCCTTCCGTTTCTCATATGATGTCCATTCAAACAGGACGATTCCACGTGAAAAAATACTATAGTAATTTATAGTAAATACTAGTGTTTTTGAACCATACTATACTTAAGTACTTGAATTAATTTGTTGCGGTAATTCTATAGTTGCTGTGAGTATTGTATTATAATATACCCTATAGTTGTAGAAAACTTAGTACAGTATTGGGTTAAGTAATTTGTTTATATTACTATAGTTGTTATATTACCACAGCAACTATAGAATTACCACAACAAATTAATTCAAGTACTTTACTATAATATGGTTCAAAAACAGTAGTATTTACTATAAATTACTATAGTATTTTTTCATGTGGGCTGTCTGAATAATTGCCATTCCCTAAGGAACTAGTTTAAGAGATGCTTTTCTGCAGACACTGTGACATTAGATGGAAAAAGAGAGTTGCGCTGAAAGCAGAATTATTTAATTAGGCTTGAACATTAATGAATGTGTACTTGCTCTTGGGGTTCTCAGTGGTTAAGGAGTTAAAACCTCTTTAGACTTGTTCATCCTGGGTATTTCTCATACATTTTCAAGCCCTTCATCTCTTACATGTTACATGTAAATATCAAGCATATTGAAATATAGTAAAGCAGTCCTTTTTGAAGACAGCTTGGTCTCCATTCATTAAGTGCACTTTTAGTATGGTTACCTTAATGATTTTTTACAAAAACAAACAAACCTTGTATATAAAAAATGCCTTAAAATATTGTTCCTGTCTGCCCTGGTGTTTGTTCATACTGTTTGTGTTTTTACTTCAGCGAGGGAAACATGGCTAGAAAATTTAATCTTGATTGGCTACAACCATTAAACAAAAAGAATGTGTTTTACATTTTAAACATGACAGCTAGGAGACATGTCAGCATTACTTTGTCACTTCATTGCTGCATTTGAGGCTCTGTTTTTCTGAATCACGTTTCTTTTTGTGTTCTCAGGCCAAGAGCGCAGTAGCTCATGTGGGAGAACTGTCTTGAATTTGTCATTTACAACAGCATATGTAAAACTAGTGTACATCAAGACAGTGTCGTGACAAAATGAAAGATTATTTTGATTCATACCTAACAAGGTCTTTGAGATCTCAAATATTTGATTTTTTGCGTGTGGTTATTGTACTGGAGTAAAGCAGAAAGAATGTGTTTGTTGATTATTTTCACAAGGTCCAATCATTGATTTTGTTTGCCACTGAAAGTACATCTGCGAACATTTTTTAACAGTAGTTGGATGATATGATAAATCTGAGCAAAAGGGTATAAAACCACTTCTTGTTTAAAGACTCGACGGCCTCAAATTGCAGAGGCTTTGTCTCTAATCTTATAAATGCTTTTAAATAGATATGTTTTCACAAAATAAGATATCTGTTAAATAGAAAATGGTATCTGTTTATTTTAGTCATGACACAAATGAATGGCGACTAGTGACTGTTGTGTGTTAGTTCTGGTTTCACACACTTTATTACCTCAGAGCTGTTTTGATGCCTTTGAAACATCATTTTGTGCAGATTATCATTAGACTGTTTGTGTGAACAGCACACATTGACATCTGTTACTTGCAAGGAACAGATGAATAAATTGTTTTTAAGCATTTGATTACACACACACACACACACACACACACATTGGATGAAGCAAAAAAAAAAAAAAAAAACTCATACACTCGCACACACTGTGAACAAAGTGTAGCAAAATTGCAAAACATACATAAAATATTTGTAAATGAAAGACTCATTTAACGGCAAAACTTTTCCTTCTTTTTTTTCCCTCCAATGGTAAACTAATGCATGTCCTGTACCATTATACAATTCATCAAAGTTGTATTTATAAAGCTGTTGTTGAGATGACCACGTGTGTGTATTGTTGTGTTGTCTATACATTTTTACAGACTCACCTGAATTAAACAAGGCACTTTTTTCCTGTCAAAACAAGAACTTGCTTCGCTAGTTAGTGTTGTTACCCACAGTGGCCGCTAGGGGCAAGTGGCGCTGTTTTACAAACAATATTGCCTAAATAAAAAAATCAAGAACAGTAATAAATATAATAACAATAGTATATATTATAGAATACATAAAAATAAATCATACATTAAAAACACGTTAATAGAGACTTTTCACAAGACTGTGATGATGCATTTTAATGGTCATCAGCATCGTAAATATTTTACAACACTACTTTGTGTTATCAAAGTCCCTTTAAAGGGGTCCTATTATGCTTTTTCAACTTTAGTTAGTCTGTAATGTTCAAGGCAGACGAACTTAGAGTGGTTACAATCATCCGGGTTTAAATCGCGCTCAAATTGATTTGATTTTGACCAATATTTACACTCAAGCTGGCAGTGGTAAGGGGCATGACATTTCCCGACCAGGCACCGAGTCCTGCCAATCAAAACACACACACTGGCCCAGCTAACCAATCACAACACACACACTGGCCCAGCTAACCAATCACAACACACACACTGGCCCAGCTAACCAATCACAACACACACACTGGCCCAGCTAACCAATCACAGCATATTTCGTATTTTAGAAGGCGGGCCTTCATTTGATACAGGAACTATTCGAGCCGTTCATGCCAGACTGGGGAGAGAGGTGTTGTAATAATGTAAAATATGTAAAAAATAATGTGTTTTTCGAACAACCTAGTATGAGAGTCTGTTCTAGTACACCCCCATGAATTGGACTTTGAGCTTTGTAACTTTGCAGGTATTTTTTTGCTCAAACAGCAACATTACAGACTAACTAAAGTTGAAAAAGTGAAAAAGCATAGTAGGACCCCTTTAAGCCGAATTCTCGTTTTTCGTTTTTTTTAAAAAAAAAAACGAAAAAGGAGCCGTTTTCTAATTTTTCTACTTTCAATATTAAATAAAAAAACGAATGAACGAATGATACACGGATTGGATTGGTCACGGTCACATTTAAAGTATATTTTTTTTCATTTTTTTGCTTTCATTGGCCGCTAGAGGGCAGCGAAGGCGCTGTGTTTCCCTCAGTCGCCGCTAGAGGGCAGTGAGTTGCGGCGCTCGATGGTGCTGCTGAAGTTTTCAAGATGTCGTCGCTGGAGCAGAGACTCTCCCGAATCGAGGAGAAACTCAAGCAGGAAAATAAAGAAGCGCGCAAACGAATCGACCTGAACATCGACATGAGCCCGCAGCGGTCGCGTCCCAGGCCAAGTGAGTGTGTGAGAGAGTGAACGAGTGATTGAGCACAACGACGGAGGAATGAAACACATTCTACATGACATAAACAAACAAACCGATCAAATCCTGACACTTCACTCACATTGACTCTCGACACCAGATTGTTCACTAGAGATTTGTTCTTTAAAGTAAATAAATAAATAATAAAAAGATCTGGCAGTCAGCTCACTAGCGTTAGCCTGGTGGCTAGTTAGCTGTGTTTAGCAGGCCGATACTCACATATCAGTCTCACATATAACTCCGTTTTTCCACGTCTGTTCTCACACAATGTCAGTCTTCATGTGGGAATATTTTCATTTAGAAAGGCTGTTGGTGTTTATTGTTGTAAAATCATCAGTCATGACAGACTTGTGTTGTTGTGAATTGCTGGTTTGGTTTTCTCTGAGACTGTCAGTAGTCTGTATTTAGAGAAAATGAATGCTTTTTTTTTTCTTCTCCTTTATAATTGAATGTCTTAAGCTTTTTGTCCCTAAAGAGGACTGTCTTGACATCATGGCCACATTGTAGTGACCAATGATGAAGGGGGTCAGGACAGGAGTGTTTTTGAACACTTCAGATCATTGAAAGTATTTTAGCATTAATTTTATGTACTAGATAGGGGTTGTTCTTCCTGCATGAGTGAAGTGTAAGGTCTGTTCGCAAACCTCCTCCACACACTGACAGTGTGTTTGAATTGATGTGCTGATGTCCCAGTACATTACGTTCCTGGATGCTCAGTGTTCGTGTCAGTTTCTGTCTTGTGGTGGCTCTTTTTTTACCCTGATCAAAACACTTTCAGATGGTCAGTTTTTTGTTTATATTATGCAGAAATCATTTGGAGCATCTGGATTTTGTTACATGCTTGTGGACAGTGATTGAAGCCAGTAGACAACATGTGCAAACTGATTCCTTATCCATTATTCACATTAGACATGGTAAATGAGCAGGAAAAAAATATAACATTAAACATAATTTTATTACTTTTTTATCAGTGAAAAGTGAAAGATCCGAGAGTTAAACTGTTATTGCTGAATGTGTGAGATTGCCTTTGATTTCATTTTATCTGAGAATTAGTTTTTAAAAGATTTTTCGACCCAGAATGAAAATTCTGTCATCGTTTGCGCACCCTAATGTTGTTCCAAGAAGAAATGTGTTCATCTTAAGAACAAAACTTTTTTTAAAATGAAAATCTGAAAAATCTCTGTCACTCTCCATTGAAATGCTCACCCAAAACTCTGACGCTTCAAATGTTCATAAAGGGATGAAAAAATAAATCTCAAATTAAGATTTCTCAATCTCAATTGAGTAGTTTAATCCAAACCTTCTGAAGAGACACAATCATTTTATATGATAAACATTTAATTTATGCTTTCATTCACATACATGACTTTAGGGTGAATGATAACAGTTTTCATTTTAGGGTGAACTAACCTCTTAAACCTTTTTTGTTGAATGTGTGAGATTGGCTTTTATTTTATCTGAGAATTAGTTTAAGCCTTATTGTTGTGTGTGTGAGTTTGTTTAGTGTATGTGAGTTCGACTTTTATTTTTTATTATTTAGTAATTTATTTTACTAAATAATATTTATTTTATTTGAGTTATTTAGTATTTATTTAGTTAGTTGTTTAATGATCAATTTAAAAGTAAAGGCCTAGTTCACCCAAAAATGAAAATTCTGGCATAATTCACACACCCTCATGAAAAAACCATATGACTTGCTTTCTCCTGTGGACGAAGCAAAATATTGTTTGAATGTCGTTATCATCAAATTCCAGAAATTATTATTATTTTTTTTTTTTTGAATGACAATTTTAGTTTTTGGGTGAGCTTTCCCTTTAATTGATCATAGTTTCAGCTACTAAAAATGTAGTATTTTCTCATGTGTAACAAATATTACTGTATTTAAATACATTCAGCTGAATTAACAGATTTATTCTGTATCATATTCTGTCATTAGCTGGACGCGTGTGTATTTTTTGTAGATGGTGTCAGTATTATTTAGGCTAGGTGGAGTGTGATCGTGCTGAAGGTGAATCATAACGTTTGAAGAGAGGGACACAGGGATTCCTGGAGGTGTGTGTGGGCTTTTAGTAATGAGCGTGTGTGTGTATTTTCTCTCCTCTGTATCTAGTCATCGTGATCCAGCTCAGTCCAGCTCCAGCCCCCTCCCAGCGCGCAGGTACCATCATCATCATCATCACTACATCACGCTGCATCTCCCTCTCTCTCTCTCTCCCTCTCTCTCTCCTCTCTCTTTACATTGCAGGTTACTTGCACTACATCACCCTCTGCATCTCTGTTTGCTCTCTTCTCTTTCTCAGTCATTCTTCTCTATTTTTAAAATTCTACCACCTCTCATTGTTTTTCTCTCTTTCTCTCTCTTTCTCTCTTTTTCAAAAAGTCAACATGAAATGACAATTGTTTCCCTTTTTTTTTTTACAATTTTCACAATATAGAATGAAATGGTGTGTTCAAGGTGGATTGTATTTATCAGTAATTGACTGAATGTGACAAGCAGTCTTTATATGATCGGCTGCTATATGAGGTGTTTGGATATGGTAATATGTATATATATATATATATATACATGTATATATATACGTATCTTAATTTTGTATCTTAATTGTTTTCATAAGAAGTTTATGCTCACCAAGGCTGCATTTATTTTATCAAAATACAGTAAAAGTAATTTTATTAGGCCTACAATTTAAAAGGATTGTTTTCTGTAAAGACCTTTCTGTTTTTACTGTATTTAAGTGTAATTTATTCCTGTGATTGCAAAGCTGAATTTTATTTAGTCGTTATCACTCTTCACTGTCACATGATCTTTCAGAAATCATTTTAATATGCTGATTTGCTGCTCAAGAAACATTTATTATTATTATTAATTTGTTATTATCAATGTTGAAAACTTGTGTTGCTTAATATTTTTATGGAAATAACATTATAAAAATTATAAAAATGCACCTTTTGTATCATTACAAATGTGTTTACTGTCACTTTTGATCAATTGAAAGCATCCTTGGTGAATAATAGAGTTAATTTCTTTCAGATAAATAGCCAAAATTAAGCATGTTAACTTCAAAAAAGTGATAAGAATTGAATGTGAAATAACTTTGAATTATTGAATCTGTTGACAGCCATATTAGCCTCCAAGGCTGTTATAAGGTATCAAGCCGAACTTTTGGCATTGATCCAACCTTAAATCCAAAAATTAATTCTGAAAAGTGGATTAACAAAGTAAATAGCTTCAGTTTTTATTTCATGTTGGTTTAATGTCATACAGCTTTCTGTCATTAATCTCACTTACATGAAAATGTTTAATAATTTCAACAAATGCATGATGTTTGTTTAGGGAACACAACCATTCTCCTACCTTCATCTTACTTGCTCGTTCACTTTGTCTATATTAAAGTATTCCTCTTTTCATTCATTCTCTCATTCTCTTTTCCACCTCAACATGAAGAGGGAGCAGCAAGCGTGTGTGAGAGCTGTGTGTAGGATGAAGTGTTTTGTTGGAAGATCAGACATTGTGCATGTTGTGGCTATAACTGCACGGCCCGACTGTGAGCGAACACATCCACACACAAACACAAAGCTATGGCGGCACTCGACAGGGTGTTCTGTGTTCAACTGTAACTTGGGTTTGAGCTTGTCTGGCCTCTCCTGTCTCTCAGCTCTCTGTTCATTCTTTCCGGACGAGACGGCTTCAGCTCTGTTTTCTGCATAGATGTGGATTACGGCCATGTAGGCTGTTTGTGTGTTCAGCAGGTGTTTCTGCACCAAACTGCTTGACCTCACTGACTTAACCAAGCTAACCGATTCTCTCCCACGAACAGGTTTTCCTGAGGAGGAATCAGAAGTTCGACGGTTATCCATTTCTCCTGAAAAAGCAGTGTTGTTTCAATGCTCAAACAACATATAGAAAATCTGTAAAATGTTTAGTTTTGCACGGTTTGGTGAGCGAATGTCAAATGTCACCCTGTGGTGACTTCTGCTTGTCCCGGTGCATGCTGGGAATGCTAACACTAACTCCAATGGCTGGTTTTCACTGTTTGGCAGCCCTTGTCATTTCTGCGTGTGAATGTGTCTGATCTTGGCATGACTTGGACTTTTATTACTGTCTTTATTTGACTGATTTTCCTCAGGACTTGAAATAGTCACAAATGTCATCTAAGATGGTAAAATGGGCTCCTTTGAAACATTCAAACAAAATGTGCTCCACAACTCACTACTATGATGTAGCGAATTTCACAAAAACCGTTAAGTAATGTCTAGGTTCTATTTCAAGAGACTACTAGTAATAAAATAGTTATTATTATTATAACATAAATCTGTGTTATAGGAGATAATATAAATATATTACAACTTTTATAATAATAAAAAATAATAATAATGACTGTTGGTTTTTATTGTTATAATAAACTATTTTGTTTTTTAATAATAATAATATTTTAGATAAATAATTGATTTTATTTTTGTTATTGTATGGAGTAAAAGTAATAACTAATCATTTTAGAAAACAAATTTATTTTGTTTTTATAATATTATAACAACAACAGCAATCATATTTATAATTTTTTCAATCAACTTTTTGTATTTTTTTATATTATTGTTATATTATCAGTAAAGAAAATGAAAAAAGAGATTTAGGATAATGTTTCATTGTGGCACTTTTTTTATTACACGTTACCCACAATTCTGAGTAGCCTACTGTATACTATGAGGGGAAAAAATAGACCTCATATTGAATCTGGATCAGCTGTCATATTCTGGACCCTCACACCTGAGGATCTTAATTTAGGGTCCTTGAACATTCATTAACATTTGTCCCAGTAATGAGTGTGTATTGATGGTCACTGGCTTCCTGTCTTCTGTCTTTTCTCTGAGTCTGACTTCTTCCAACCTTCTTGTTTTCTTTACAGCTCTACAGTTACCATTGGCCAACGATGGAGGAAGTCGCTCGTCTTCCTCAGAAAGCTCTCCTCAACACCCCTCGTACCCTAGCAGACCCCGACAAATGCTTACGCTTCCCACCCCACCTTACAGCCTGCCGAAGAGCCTGGAGAAGTATGTCACACTCACAGCATGGTGTAGTTTGCAGAGTTTTCATTATATATAACAGTCTTGGTGTGTTAATCTGTTTATTCTTCATCTTCAGTGCTGAAATTGATCAGAAGCTGCAGGAAATCATGAAACAAACAGGATATCTGAAGATTGACGGACAGGTGAGTCATCAGTCATAGGGCCAGTTTTACTAAACAGGGCAAATTAGCGCGAGAGCGCAATTCCAAAACCGTGCCGATGGGAGGGGAAATTTCTGTGTGTGATTTACTAACAATACGCAAATTAAAGAACACAGACGCAACATCTCATTTACATATCGACCAATGCAATATACCAAGCGCAGCGCAAATTAGCGTAGCAAATAAAGAATAAAGAAATAAAGAAGCCACGGTACGTTGAAAAAATGAAGGTTTGCTAGAAGTTTTAATAAAGCTGGTATTGCATGACTTCTAGTTGAGGGTTCAAATTAGTCTTTTATTTCCTGAAGCAAATTAAAAATAACATGGCTTGGCAAACGATATGTTCAGATAATGTGTTCTTCTGGCATTCAAAATAAATTAATACGTGTGGAAAAAATCCTCTCCCTTCTACCACGCGCTCTCTGTTCTCTGTGGTGCCTCCTCCTAGCAATAATTGCAGCCATTTCAAGCGCAAAATAGTTTAAGACATGCTTTTTTTGGGCGTTAAATAATGGCACAAATGCCAGTAATTTGACGAGCGCGAATGTTAGTAAAATTTGAATACTCTGCTCCCATAACTTGTGTCTGAAAGGGGAGCTCCTACAAATGCATATTCAATAATAACTGTGTCCATGACTTTTCAGCACTAATTCGTTACTGCGTGTCTTTAGTAAAACGTGACCGTACAAATTTAACTCCAAAAGACGGTTTGCGCTGGCGCAAGCTGTTAGTAAAACTGGCCCATAGTCTTTAGGTATTGAATGTGGGAAAAGAGTCTGACCTCTTGTGTATGTTCTTCAGCGTTACCCTGCAGAGGTGACGGATCTGATCAGTGAGGGGGAGATCGGCAGTGGAACCTGTGGACAGGTGTTTAAAGTTCGCTTTAAGAAGACTGGCCATGTCATCGCAGTCAAGGTCGGTTCAGCTCCTGGTTTCTCGGCTCTGTTCGTCCCTGATAATAGTTTGGTTTTTTTTTCTTGTTTTTTGTTTTGGATGGGACCAGGGTTTTAAAAACCTTTGATCAGCAACCCCTAAAAATGATGAATACCTTGCAAGGGACCCCATTCCTAAATTATAAAATCAACAGTATATTTTAGTACTCAAACTTAAAGGGATAGTTCACCCAAAAATGAAAATTTCATAATTTTCTCCCTCATCATGCCATTCCAAACCTGTATGACAAAACTTCTGTGAAACACACAAAAAGATATTTTTAAGGATGTTGATTACCAAACTGTTTTGTGTCCCATTGACTTTTTGTCAATAATATACCAACATTCTTCAGATTATCTTGGTTTGTTTCACAGAAGAAAGTAAGTTATAAATCCCTTTAAGATTTATACTGAGAAAAATAGTAGGTGTGATATCAAATGTTAAAATTAGTGGCATTTACATAGTCGTTGTACTAAAGCCAAAAGAAATTCCAATCAATCACATTTTTGGATGAAGGCGTTTGTGTATCCATGTATTTGTCGTCTTGAACTTTCCTTGTAATTACCAAGTCATTAAAACAGCAGTTAAGGCAGCAGTAATTACTGTTTACTAATTACATCACTGCTCTTGGTTTTTGTTGTTCTAGTAGCGTTTATGTGAGCATGTTTCCTTTGTGTGTTTTTCCCTGCAGCAAATGAGGAGGACGGGTAATAAAGACGAGAATAAGAGAATCCTCATGGATCTGGATGTTGTGTTGAAGAGTCATGACTGTCCGTACATCATTCAGTGCTATGGAGCAATTGTCACCAATGTGAGTAACACACTCATGATCTGTGCTCAATTACCGCATACAGGGTCTGTGGCGTGTTGCTTTAATGATCAGATTTGTTTTATTGGTATTTCAGTTTCACACTTGAAAATAGTAGAAGTGGTCTGATGTCTTTGAAAAGGTTCCAAATTTAATTAAAAATTTTTAGGAAAAACACATCATCAATCTTTGACAACTTTCAATTAATTACTGTGTTTTAGCTGCCAACCTGAAATTTTGTGGATATTTCTGAAATGTGTATGATCTATTTAATTTTGTAGCCATATACCATATTAGTACTCCTAGGGCCAGTTTTACTAACAACTTGCGCCAGCGCAAAAAAACGTCTTTTGGCATTAAAATTGTACTGTCAGGTTTTACTAAAGTGATGAATTAGCACTGAAAAGGCGTGGACTAGGGCTGCATGATATTGGGAAAAAAAATCACATTGTGATATTTTGTTTTTCTGCAATATATATTGCGATATGAAAAAAAAAATCACCAGATGACTTGAATAGCTCTATTTGGAAAAAAATAATAAATAATTGGGGTGATTTTGTAGGTGAGTAAATCAGCATAGAAAATAAACAAATTACAAGCATAGATAAATATAATAAAACAAAGATACAAATGAAATAAACAGTGCTTTATATTTTTCAGGTAAGTCTAACAGTATTCAGGTACAGATTTTGAATAATCAAATGCGTTGATAACAATTTTATGTGTGCGCGCAGCGCAATCTCTCTCTCTCTCTCTCTCTCTCTCTCTCTCTCTCTCTCTCTGTGTGTGTGTGTCTCTCTCTCTCTCTCTCTCTCTCTCTCTCTCTCTCTCTCTCTCTCTCTCTCTCTCTCTCTCTCTCTCTCTCTCTCTCTCTCTCTCTGTGTGTGTGTGTGTTTGTGTTTGTGTGCATCAATTAAAGCAGCTCATTAATATGGAACGGTGATTAAACTGACTTGGAACTACCTGTGCATTAAACGGTTTTACTGCATACCTGCCAGCCAATCAGAATCCAGTATCTAGACAGACCATGGAATAATTAGATTCAAAACTTCTAGCAATCCTTAATTTTTTGGCCTTTTTTCAACGTACTGTGGTTTCTTTATTTCTTTATTCTTTATTTGCGACTTCGCTAATTTGCGCTGCACTTGGTATATTGTGTTGGTCGATATGTAAATGAGATGTTGCGTCTGTGTTCTTTAATTTGCGTATTGTTAGTAAGTTTGTGTTTGTGTGCATCAATTAAAGCAGCTCATTAATATGGAACGGTGATTAAACTGACTTGGAACTACCTGTGCATTAAACGGTTTTACTGCATACCTGCCAGCCAATCAGAATCCAGTATCTAGACAGACCATGGAATAATTAGATTCAAAACTTCTAGCAATCCTTAATTTTTTGGCCTTTTTTCAACGTACTGTGGTTTCTTTATTTCTTTATTCTTTATTTGCGACTTCGCTAATTTGCGCTGCACTTGGTATATTGTGTTGGTCGATATGTAAATGAGATGTTGCGTCTGTGTTCTTTAATTTGCGTATTGTTAGTAAATCACCCGCAGAAATTTCCCCTCCCATCGGCGCGG